GTGAAGAAATCACAAGCGGCCTTGTCAATGGGATCTGTAGCAGTGGCGTCAGGGAGCGCCATGACCAGCTTACGCAGCTCATCGGGGTCCTTCATTCCTTCGACACCGAGCTTCGCATACATGTCCTTGAGGATTTCATAGAGGCATGAATCTGCGTATGTGTATGGTTCAAGTTGTACATCAAGCTGTTTACTGGCCTCTTGAGCTGCGTTGCCGATTGTCGGTTCAAGAATTGACTCTCGACCCCGAATGCGTTTACTGCGTGACCTTCCACCCTCTGCGGTTTCGGGTAGACCAGCAGAGTCTGTCGATCGTTTGCGCGACGGGACTGGTGCGGCATTGGAAGGGCCAACAGGTGCAGTCTCTTCATTCCTGACTTCACCGTCGACCTCCTGCTCTTCCATTATGGTATCTTCGCCGTCCCTCTCTGGTACGTTCTCCGCTTCGGTCGCTGTAGTGTTGGGTTCTTCGATCTGTGGCGACGGGGTCGGAGCGGGCGCAGGTGCGGGCATCAAGGCTTCCTGTACTGGTGCGGGTGGTTCAGACTCGATGCGCTCAGGAGTCTCGCTCTCGGGTGGTATGCTGAAGACTACGTTGGAACCAGAAGGTACGTTAGGCGTGATGCCCTGTTGCTCCGAGAGGAACTGCCGCACTATGATGTCTCCCACTCCTGCCCAGTCCCACTTGGTCGGAGTCAAGGTCACGCTCTCCGGTGCCACCTTGATGTTGTGTAGATTTTCGGCGAGGGCGACATCGGCTGGGAGGGGCGCAAACGGAAATGGATTCAGGCGCCTCTTCAGCGTCTCGGAAAGCTTCTTGCGCTTGATCGAGGATAGTGGCGCCTGGCTCAGTGAGACATTGTCCTCCAGGCGTCCTACGAGCTCGCGCAATTGTTGTCCGGCAAAACCCTCCTCCAGCCCAGGAAGCCGTAACAGACTCTCCCACTGCTCGTCGTTTCCATCCAAGACTGCCTCCAGACAGTAGCGAGTAAGGCGCTTGCTGCCAAGCATAGCCGCGACAGATGCCGCACGCAGCCAGAGATCCAGATCGGTATCTTCCTTGTCCAAAGCCTCGGCAAAGTAGTTTAGGGCGCCACGTGTGTTGTTCCATGCCTCCATCTGCGGAGACACGCCACTGGTAGCGATCCAATGCTGCATCGCCTCAAGCAGAAACTGGCCATGGTTCTTGTATGACAGGTGCAGTATTTGCTGGAGTGTGTTGGGGGCGCTGTCGGCAGCGCCTGTAGACTGGACGGGGCCCGCCTCGTAGTCATCCTCTAATATGGTGTCGAACACCAGGTCTTCGCCAAAGACCTCATGTCGCTGGTATTCCGAGAGAGATTCGGCGTATTTGAAAATCTCTGATTCGAAGAGAGCTTTGTAAGCTGCGGCGGTCTTGTCGAACGATGGAGGGCCTTCGGAGTGGTATTTGAGGGCGGTTTGGTACAGTTTCAGCGCCTCTTCGATCTGGATCTCCTGGGTATCGTCGACTTCTTCTTCGGCGGTCTCCTCCGGGAGCTCGACATTGTAGGGATGCCATGTAGAGGCTTTCGACTGCGATATGTGAGCGGGCATGGTTGAGAATGCCGGGGTTGTACTTACCATGATGCGAGAGGTGCGTGGTTGTAGGCAGTTGGGAAAGGCCGACAGGCGAATGAGAGACGTTTCACAGCATTGGTGGTACAGACCCTGAGCAGCAGGCAACCATGGAAGGCGCGACGATGGTGTGGACAAAGAAGGTGGGATGCGACAGGGCTGTGGCCTATGACACGTCGTGAGGCCTCGGTGTGACGCGACGCGACAGTGAATGATGGAGCGCAGGGATGCCCCGTCTTGGCAGCTGCGGTCCTCCGCGATGAGCTACCGTGCCTGCCCTCCATACTCAGCAAGGACACCGAAACCCTGACAAACATCCGCCCAGGCTGTGAAGTGTATACCAAGCCCCTCCACCAGCAACCCGCCCCCGCCATAGCATCCTCTTCACCGCCATCGTCCCCCCGCGTTTGCGGCGCCAATTGAAGCCATGGTCACGTCGCCAGCTGTTCCCGAGTACGCGCAACCTACTAGCTTTCAATCTACACATGTTTTACATATGCGCCCACCTGCATCCTTGCTGCTATTTTCGAGTCACAACACATCATCATGGCGCATTTCTGCTGTAATCTCTTCTAACACGGCTCTAGAATCTACGAGGACGAGCTACACTCCGCAATCGAAGCGCGCTCGGAATCTCTGCAGACCCTACGAGAGCTGGGCCCGCCAGATCTGGTCCACCTGATAAAGCAGCCCATCAAGAATGCGACAAAACAGGTCCGTAGTACCTTCGACCGCACAGTGGCCGCGATCCCAATTTGACATGTGATTAGATTGGCGTCTACCACCACGTCTCCGGCGTAGACGCTTCCTCGTCTGCCAGCTTGGCAGCCTACATCAACACCCTCACATACTCTGCGCACGATAAGCAAAACAAGGTCGTCTCTGGGCTGTATTGGTAGGGGAATGTCTCCTTGCGGCGCTGGCAATTGCTGACCGAGCAGCTGCTACAATGCCTTCTCACGCCTGGACATGCGCGTGCAGGTCTACATCCCTGGCACTGTCGAGAGCTACTGCATCGATGAGCGCGGCGACAAACGAGTAGCCACCGACGAACTCTGGCTAGAGACCTACCTGTGTAGCGTACTGCGCGCATATTCTTATGCCGACGATGGCTCCGGCGACACGATCAAGAAGATCGTTGGTGTGCGGAGATTCAATCCCATCACAAGTACCGAGAGCGAGCACAAATTTCTGGATGCAGCAGAGCGCCTGTTCTTCAACGGTATGACATTCGCTTGCATGATGATATCTCCGCTAACGCAATTCAGGCTGGCAATTAGGATCTGATCCCGAGATTCAAGTCCCAAATCTCGTCTCGAACCACTTGACTACGGGTCTTCTCGACTACATTCATACCACTGGTAGATATACTTCAGGCATCAATCTGTTCGAGAAATTGCGAACTCGCGATCCGGAGATCTCTTCCCTACTGGCGCGGGTATACATCGAGGCAGACGAGGAGGTGCAGGCAGTCCAACTGCTACACGAGGCCATCCAAGAATTGCCCATGGATTACTCTCTGCTCGACTGCCAAGCCGAGTTCTGCAACAAGAAGGGCCGCGGCGACCTGGCGCTTGAGATTGCTAAGAGGAGCGTTGTGTCTGCACCTAGTGAGTTTGGCACATGGGCGCGCTTAGCAGAGATATACGTCAGCCTCGAGCAGTGGGACATGGCATTGTTGACTCTTAACTCATGTCCCATGTTCACCTACCAGGACAAGGACGCACCACGGATGCCCGAGCCACAGCGAGTCTTTCTGCCTGTCATGCCAGAAGCCATGTGCGACGAGATTGAAGATTCCAACATCGACGATATGGAGCTTGTGCACCCAACTCTGAGGAAGCTGCACGCTGCGGGTTTCAAGGGTACCTTCCTCAAAGCCTACATTCTGCTGACCGAGATTACAAAGAAGATAGGCTGGGATCAATTACTCAAGATACGAAGCCAAGTCTTCGTCATGGAGGAGGAATACCGCCATGAAAAGACCGCACAGCAACCGCATTCTCGCAGCGCCAGCACAACAGCGCTCCGTTCTCCTTCTCCAAACACACACGCCCAGCAAACAAATGGTGACCATGGCGAAGTCGAGGAACGTTCCTCCGCTGAGATATCCAACACGAACGGCGAATCATCGTCTGCGGCCGCCGAAGCAGTCAACGATCTCGAGAAGCCCATGCACACTGTCGCCTCTGAAGTTGTGAAAGCCGGCAGCGAAGACCCTCACGCACACGACGCCGCAAACAACGGCAACCCATCGCAACCAAACTACACACACTTCCAGAACAAGCGCCTCTGCGAACGCTGGCTCGACAACCTCTTCATGGTCCTGTACGAGGATCTGCGCGTATACACGATATGGCGAACTGAGATGGCGCAGTACAGGCAGCAACAACTTCTGTACAAGAAGAGCAGTGAGGAGTGGGAGATCTTAGGTGAACTCGCCGAGAGACTGCATCACACAGAGGAGGCAGTGGAAGCATACGAGAACTGCCTGCAAATTAAGTTCTCACCAAAAGCCATGAGAGGCGTCCTGAAGCTAGGCGAGGAGAGGAAACAAGTCAGGGACGTTACAGCCGCGTTGATCAGACTGGTCACCTGGCAGTACCGATGGTACTCCGAGGTAAGTCTACCTTCACCCTTTCTAACATCGTTCCGAAACTAACATATAACCTCACCAGTTCTCACCCTCCCTCCTCTACACAATCCGCAAACTCATCGAAGAAGAAGGCGCCGTCAAAATCCGCAGCATCATCCAGGGTACCTCGCTACCCCAGCACGTCCTCGATCTCACACACCAGTATGCCGCGCTGTGTGCGGCATTTAGGAGCAGTGGTAGCGATGGTTAGAAGCCGTCGCCTCTCAAAATCTACGGCTATACCAACAACAGTCTTGACCTCCAGGGGCGTACCTGGAAGGACGAGAAGGCGAAGTGGTTGGCTGCTGGATAGCTTTGTGTTAGTGTGCGCGTGTGTATGTGTTAATGCATGGAAGCGTTGGTGTTGGAGACGGTGTATGTTAGACCGTTAATTGAGTCCATTGCCCTCTTCACAAAATGTCTTTGCAGCCTTGTACTTGCTCTGCGTGTACCATTTCAGTGCCTAGATATTTCGTCGAGGGAACAATCGATTGGCATTCATTTATCCTGCTTCACTGAGAATCTCATGAACATCCACACTCGACATGCCGTTGTCCATGTTCTTGCAACCAATGTATTCATTTTGTATCGTCACAAGCCGGGGGATCGTACCAGGCAGCCGTTGCGCGCCATGTCACGTAACCTCGTCCTTAAGGAGATAGATAGTAGACAGTAGAAGACCCCATGTAAAAGCCCAGGATGAACACCGCTCCATGCTCCCCCATACACCGCTCCATCTTTCTCCTCTCCAAGCCCAAAAGTGATACCGCTTAACGGTAAGACTTCTGGTACCTGGCGCGCGCACCTGGACCGCCGAACTTCTTGGGCTCGCACCGCCTGTTGTCGGCAACAAGCAGTGTGCGGTCGTACTGGATCAGGGCCTGCTTGAGCTGGTTCTTCGAGTGCTCGTCGACGTACTTTTGGTAGTAGGCGATGATGGATTTGGCGATGGCTTGGCGGATGGCGTAGACTTGCGAGGTGTGTCCACCACCAGAGACGCGGACGCGGATGTCGACATCGGCTGCGCATGTTGTTAGTATTTTGCCCGCAATTCCTCCGCGTGTGCCGCCCTGGGGTTTCGTGTGTGCGTACCGAACTTGTCAACACCGAGGATGAGGATGGGCTCGTAGACCTTGAATCGCAAGATCTCGGGCTGGACGAGGGAAAGAGGCTTTCCGTTAACCTTGACGAGACCCTTTCCGGCCTAGAATTTCATCGTAAGTATGCTGTTCGGATGCGCGTTCGATCGTGGCATTGCGTGTGTACCTTGCAGTGGGCGACAGCTGTGGGCGGTATTGTTAGCCTTGTTCTTCTTCTTGCTCTGGGGTGTCGGGCGGCGGGCTTTGCGTACCAGTCGCGGTCTTCTTCTTGCCGAAGCATTGCACGCTCTGGGAGGCCATGTTGGGCGACTGTGGAATGTGCGTGCGGTTAGTACGGGTGGGCGTGGTCGGTTTGGCTGTCGTCGATGGGTGGAAGTTACCCGACGATGTTGCATGTCGAAATTCAGTGGGCGCACGGACCCGCTATCCCTGTAAGCGATTAGCGTCGCGGCGGGCTAGCGCCGTCAACTCCAGAAGCCGCGCATCTTCAACCTTGCCACGAGGATTCAGATCTTGATCCAGATCATCTATCGTTCCTTTCTCATAATTGCCGGTGTGGAAGTCGATGTCGCCTGCACAGATATTTTTTCGAGACCCCACATCGTTGTGAAAGAATATATTGTCGGCATTGCAATTATCACTACCCAGTTGCGAAAGTAAATATTGGGGAGCCCTGCGTATTGCGCGCGTGCCGGAAGGTTCTATAAAATCTCAGCGTTTCCTGCTTGCCGGCAGTCACATCAATCGGTCTCATCGCCGAACCGATTCATTTGTCACTCACTGAGATCTTTTGACCGGCATATAAGTGCTGAGATCCAGGCATGTCGAATCGTCTTCCAAAATCTCAAGAAGCAGTTCCTGAAGATTCGTCTCATCAACTCTATGTCTTTGGAAGTAATGGAGAAGGCCAACTGGGAATACCAGCAGCGGAGATAGTCAGCACTCCAACTCGAGTTCTTCGTTTTACAACCACCGGCAGCCCTTTTCCTCTTGATAAGATAAAATCCATAAGAGGTGGCGATAATCATACACTGTTTCTCACTACAACCGGCGTAGTCTACGGGGTTGGTGACAATCGCAAAGGTCAGCTGAAAAGGGAGAAATCCCCACCTCGACTCGAATTGTTTCATATATTGGGCCTTGATAACAGCTTCGCGGCCGCTACATGCGAGTCGTCAGCTTCCGTCCAGCACGTCGGCGACCTTCCATACAGCGCGATCAAAATACACGGTTCTAACAGCTGGGGTGAGCTTGGCTTATACGACGAAAGCTATGTCCAGTCTCTGCGCACATCTGAGGAGACCTTTGCCCACATTCTGCTTTCAAGCAAGGTAGCTGATCTTGCAGCTGGAGTTTGGCACTACGTCGTCATAATGCAAGATGGTTCGGTCTATGGTTGGGGGAAAGGTCGACTCGGCCAACTCGGAGATGCGCTTTTGAACTGCAAAGTCGGGGCGCCTACCAAGATCGAAGGGATACCGTTTAAACCCAAGAAGGTGGTATGTGGCAAAGATTTCACATACTTAGTCAGCGATCCAGCCGAGGGTGAACACCAGCTACTCGGCAAAGACAAGTTCAACATCATCTCGAATATGCCCGAACACGTCAAGAACTGGAAAGACATCGGCGCTACATGGCACGCCATCTTCGTGCTCTTCAACGACGGAACGCTTACCGCGTGGGGAAAAGAGAATATGTGGAAGCTACTACCACCCGATCTACCCCTTTTGGACAGCGTTGCCGTTGGGTCGGATCACATCCTCGCTGTGACGAAAGAAGGCAAATTAATATCATGGGGTTGGGGTAAACATGGGAACTGTGGCGACCTGTCAAATATTGGAGTTGAGATGAAGAACGATATGGTCAGCGGGTTCTGGAACGAAATCAGCATACCAGGAGAGATCCAGACGATTGGGGCTGGGTATTGTACTAGCTTCGTGGTTACGAAACAAGATTGAAGACCCGCTAATTACAAGAGTATCATTATAATCTACGTGTACCAACGTTGCGGTCAGTCATTCATGTACAGCAGTTCCGTCACCCATCGAACCCAACAACTCAGAAATCCTCTCTAACCAAACTCCACTCCGCCACAGTCCCCCCATCCGTAGCATTCTCCACGAAGAGATTCCCTCGAATACTCAAATGCGCATATCGTCCGCTCCAAACGCTGTGCTCAAGAGTGACGTTCGTCTGATTGCCAATGTACGTCTTGATCTCATATGCCGTAACTGGATCCCAAGGCGCACTTATCTTCACCTCGCCTGCTGTTACCTTCCTCACATCTTCATCGAGTTCTGAGTTGGGTTGACTTTTGAATGGAGGTAAAGTGGTATTGGAGAAGTAAACTTCGAAGTGTGAAGGTGGCTGATTACCCCAATCCATTACGACTTTTTTGACGGGGTAGAAAGATGAGTCGCTGAGATCTACGGTTAGGTAGCTGGTGATGTTTGCAAGTTTGGGCTGCCACTTCGTACTTGCAGCGCCGTCGATGGCCGCGATGGGGAATTGACCGGGCTTGTTACCTTGCGGTGGTGGGAGAAGGGCTTTACATTGCAGGATGTTGCCACCGACCGTGAGTATCTCGCTCATTGGTCGATTGCGGACTACGAGTGGTTCGTCTCCGAGTTCGTACGTTGTGTTATCACGGTTGCTGCGGGTACCGATCGTGACGGGAATGGGCTTATCAAAGTACGTCGCGTTCGCCGAGGGCAGAGTGTAATTTTCTCGTGGCAGACGTGCCAAAGTTGTATGCGTCGAGTTGGACGTAGCATTGATACCATGACCCATCCAATAGAAGGTGCGGTAGTTCAGATGTGGGATCTGCGGCGGCAGCGTGGGATCGATGTCTAGCCTGTCGTAGTAGAGGCCGAGACCAAGATATCCGAAGATACCAACGCGGTTAGTTCCCCCCATGCCGGTCAAGAAAGGGAAGGCAGGATGTGTTCCTCCGTTCTCGTCAACGTTGTCGATGAGTTGCTCGGAGTATTGATACCATGGTGCGCGGACGTATGGCGAAGATGAGTAAACGTCGTAGGTGAAACTCGAGCAGCCAGATGGTGAGACTTCATTTGCGACGACGGCAAACGAAGAGTATGTCATGGCAGGGCCATCGAGAGACTGCTTCGCCGCGTAGTAGTCCAGGTTGGCTAAGCTGTATGGGTTGGGGTAATGTAGTAGGTCGTCGACCAGAACAACGTCTAAATAGAGGTTATGATTAGTGACTCAACTGTCGAAGAGGTGGATGTTACTTACCAGCTTGCTTAACCGCTACTGACCCATTCATTCCAGTGTACTCAACAATGATGCCAGCATTCTCGTTGATTGGAATTTGCATATTGGATGCCTTGTCTGCCCAGCTAGCATTAGGGCTGCGTCCAAACCAGCTGTTGAACTCGTTCGTCTCGAGGAAATGACGTTGCATGAGTGCAGTGGTAAAAGCAATGTTGTTGACCTGGTTGGCGTATTCGTCCGGGTCCGTAGCATTCCAGAGCTCGTATGCGCCAGATGTTTCGTTAAAGTCCAGCAACTGGCCAAAGAAATGCGCAATGGCATTCGAAATTGGAAGGAGGGTGTCGTTGAAGTATTCTCCATCTCCAGTGATGATCAAATGGTTGTTCAGGGCAAGGCTGATGTCGCCGTTAAGGTGATATTCGTAGTCGAAGCAAGCGCCAGTTCCCGTGCAGTTGCCGAAACGTCCGCTAGTCCATGGATATACAGCTCCTCCAGGCGTAAATCTACCAGTCTGATTCTTGCTCGATTGATACGCAGTTTCGACGTTGCGTTGCGCTTGATCGAAATGCTCTACGCGATACTTGATGACGTTCTGAGCGTGTTGCGGATGCGATACTTGGACTCCTGGGGCCATCCATACGTCTGCATCCCAGAATATCATACCGCCGTAGCAGTCTGAGCCCAGCCCACAGACTGGAATACTGTATATGTCGAGCTTTGTATTGTTGTTGGCTGCAGCCACAGCATTGGGTCCGACCATATTCGATAGCAAGTAGAATGGGTTGGTTCGTGCCATGATATGCAATGTTCGTGCGTCTGGATCTTCCGGGAGAGATCCGTTCGGTAGGTGGTAATCGTCAACCGAGTCCGGTGTTAGTATAGACTCCCACTCTTCAATATGAGAATGCAACAGCTTGTAGTAACCCTCTTCGGCACCGGATTGTGAGGCGTCGCGTGCTACATTCTGCGGATCCGGGAAAGCATCAGTCGATGCAACTCCTATGAACTTGGTGATTTCGGTGGGACGGAAGGCGACAAGTTCGACCGGGAGAGACTGCGCAATGGTTGAGCCATTGCCGCCACTGAAGATGCCGCCGGCTATTTCACTACGAGCAGTAAGATTGACCCAATCGCTGCCACTCAGAGTCGAATATACATAAGCCTTTACGTCGGTGATGTTTCCCGGGCTGACAGCGGACCAGATCGTAGGCGTGTCTTCTTCAAACTTCTTCTCAACGAAGTCTGAGCGAACAGCACAGTCACCGTCAAGAACGTCGTACACCGTCACGTTGAGGTCGCGTGTCGCAGTCAGTCTTAGCCTGACTGCTGCTTTATTGACATAAAGCTTGTGCACAAACATCTGATAGTCCACGTCAACTGTCCCATCTCCGGAACCACCAGGCCGCCAATTGTATCGCCAGCTTGCAATTCCAGCTTTTACATCTAGACTCGATACGAAATCCGATATGTGGTCGGGGTTGACTGACGCATTCAAGAATTCACCGTTGGCTTCCACAACGATACCACTAGCATGTGGGATGCCAGCAGTAAAGCTCTCCCACCCATACTGATACAGCCAAGGGTAGTTCGTTCCGTTTGTTCGTGGCTGACTATTCCAGAAGCCTGCGATGGTCGAGAAAGCTTGTCGTCTGCTGAACAGCGGCCACCCACTTATAACGTCGCCGTCCACTGGCTCATCCACTTCGAAAAAAGGTCCTGCCAATGCTACATTGATGCCAAAGTAGCCATTTGCAAGCGTTAGGCGGGACTGGTAGTGGCCTTGGTCCAGGGCATGTGTCGCTATAACCCAATTCTGGTCATCCCATGTTACGCCCTTGAACTGTTCATGTTCACTGCTGGTGGAACAATGAACTAAGCGGATCGAAGCTAAAAGCGCAACGGTAGCTCGACGGAGGTTTGTCGATAGCATGTCCTGCTATCGAGAGAAGAGTAGGAACGTGATAACGGAGCAGCACCCGACGTGTTCAAGGCACGTCGGCCTTAAAGCAGTCCTAAAACAAGGTACAAAGCCATGCCGATCAAGCATTATTGGCACTAGAGACTTCCACGGGACGCCGCCCGTTCGTCTCTTTTACCTTTTTCTACACCGCTAGGCACGGGCTAGCTGCTGCGATCGCTCGTCATACGCTCCTTTTGCGGGCGCTAGCTGAGTCGCCCAGCATACTTGCGCGACAGTTTCATAGCTTCATTCAATGTCCATCAGGTAGCGAGAGAGTCTGGGAACGATGTGGTTGAACAAAGGTTTGATGCGTCGTTGTGGTCCTTGGCAAATGATGAGGACGCGTCGATTTCGAGCACCGCAGGCGATTAGAGCCGAAGCTGTCGGGATCGTGCGCATGTGACGTCACGGCTGACATCCCAACGAAGCCCTGGAGACTAAACTTGTCGCCTTATCATTCATCGGATGCCAAATATTGCCGATCGCATCGAACCCGTCCAACAATGTTCCCAGGAGCTGTTCTATCGCGAGACTTTGGAGCTGGCCGTCAGCTTGCGGTTAGGCCGCCCAATCTGTGAGTGGCTGAGTCGCGCCATCACGAAGCGTAAGCACAGGGCATTCTCAGCTGAATGACAACTGTCCACACTCCACCCGCCATGGCCCGGCGCATCGCGTCCAAGCTCAGAAGACGCGCCAGGAAGACTAAGAAAGATATTTACCTCCCTCTCGATGCTGCGACGCGTGCAATCCGTGTGCTACACCTTCACCCTGGCGCCGGGGAGGATGCCATTCGCGCAGAGCTCCAGGCCTCTTCCATTGACGATGTTCGAGGGCGCTATATCGCAATTTCGTACACGTGGGGTTCCGAAGGCGTCGCTCGCCAGGTTCTGATAACGTGCAACGGGAAGCCAGTTTCTGTTTCTGAGAATCTTTCCACGGCTCTGCGCAAACTTCGACAACCGGACCATGAGGTTCTGCTCTGGGCGGACGCGCTGTGTATTAATCAATCAGATGCTTCGGAGAGAACTAAACAAGTTGGCTTGATGGGTGATATATACAGCAACAGTCGCGAGACGATCATATGGCTTGGCGAACCAACGCTCGGTGAGGATATTGGCTCCCGCTTTTTGAAAGGCAATGCTTCCGAGATAGCGTGGACAGGTGATTCCAGAGACAGCGACCTGCGGCAGGAGTTTATGCTCGATTTTGAGCACACTTGTAAGGTAGCACCGTTGGTCGCACTGGCAGACACACCCGCGGCGAACACAGGGCCGGATATTTTCGGTGCGTTTTGTGTAATCCAGGACTTTGCCGAAGACATCTCGTACCCTCTACTCAATTTGCTGGATCGGAACAAAGCCACTATATCGGAACGCATCGAATATCCAAGGAGACATGGCCTGATTGCGACAAACAGCCGTTGGCATGGGTCACAGTCTCTTAGGGTGTGGGACGGTCTCGCAAGATTAATGAAAAGGGCTTGGGTGATTATCCACGTTGTCTTCATTTGGTCTGAACTGACAATAGAGCTGGCAGTGGCAGCGCATTTGGGTCATCCAAGAGACCGTACTCTCGAGAAACGCCACGGTACATTACGGCATGCTTTCAGCCCCCTGGTCAATGTTCGCTAGCGCCGCCATTAATTATGTCCAGCAGCGTCACACCTTGTGCCTGGATCTGGCTGGGACGCTCTATGGGCAAGACACACTGGATCAGTTCAGCAACTTCGTGCTTCGAATCGAAGAGACAAGACGTTGTCACGAG